GATCCGCTTTAATCCTCTATCCCGGATCTAAAACTTCGAGATTTTCTTCATCTATAATTAATTAACAATTAAGAATCATGATCGGTTGTAAAATGGATTTCGAAAATAGAAAAAAAAAAAGATCTAATCTATATCATCCGAAAAAAATATCGACAAAAACGCGAAGAAAATTATCGTAGTGGAGAATACTTGAAAAGAAATAAAATAAATAATAATATTAATATTAATAAATATAAAGAACGGGATGAGAGAAAAATTACCGATAGAAAAATCTAATGGCCATGGAGTCCGACAGTTGCAACGATAGAAAGATGATAAAAAATTATATAATTATATGATTATATGAGAGAGAAGAGATGTGTGAGAGATAGATGGCAAAAAAATAAAAAGAAAAAGGAGACATGGAAGTCGAGAGAGAGAGAGAGAGAGAGAGAGAGAGAGAGAGAGAGAGAGAGAGAGAGAGAGAGATGTGTGGCTGCGTAAAGAAGATGGATAAATGATAGAAAAAGGTGAAAACCTAATAAAAATTATGATTTAATCCTTTATTTTATAGAATTTTTAAATTTGTCCTAAATTTTTATTTTGTATTAAAAGGTCCTCATATAAACAACACATTTTCTCCAACCTTTTTAATTTTACCAACTAACCTTTAATTAATTTTTTTTAAAAAAAAAAATCGATCGTTATAATTCCATCACCCTTAAAAGAGAATTTGTCTCGAATTCTAGAACATATGTACGGTTTTTCTTACAAAAAGGTGGGGATATCGAGTGTTCATATCGTCCTCTAATTCTCAAGTCGCATCTTCTCCTTTGTGGTGTGTTTATGTGACCTTTACGAGAGGAATTTCTCTTCTCCGCAGTTGTTTAACCTTTTGTTCAACAATTTCAATAGGTTCTTCTTCATAAGTCTCATCCGGTTTTAACTCAAGTGGTTGATAATCAATAACGTGATCATGATCAGGATAGTGCTTCCGAAGTATTAGCACGTGAAACATATTATAAACTTGTGTAAACTCTGGGGGTAGAGCAATCTTATAAGCTACTGCTCCAATCTTACTCATTACTTTGAAAGGTCTAATGAATCTGGGTTTTAGTTTTCTCGTCATTACGAAGCGTGCTTTTTTTTTGTTGCTTGTACTTTTAGAAATACTTCGTCATCCTCTTGGAAGGTCAATTCACGTCTATGCTTATCCGCATAACTTTTATGTTTATCTTGTGTTGTCTTCCTCTGCTTATGGATCACTTTAATCTTGTTCGTAGTTTCATCCACTATATCAGGACTCAATAATGGTCTTTCCCCAACTTCTGTCTAACAAAGATGTGTCTTACAAGGTCTTCTATATAACGCCTCAAAGGGTGACATCCCGATACTTGAATGAAAACTGTTGTTGTAGGCGAATTCCACAAGTAGTAAGTGACGATCCCATTCTCCTCCCTTATCCAATACACACGCATGTATCATATCCTCTAGCGTTTGTATCGTTCTCTCTGATTGTCCATCGGTCTGGGGATGATAAGCTGTACTCAATCGTACCTTAGTGCTCATAGCCTCTTGTAAACTGTTCCAAAATCTCGAAGTAAATCGTGGATCTCTGTCCGACACGATACTAATAGGGATTCCATGAAGTCTTACCACCTCTTCTATGTAGACTTGTGCTAAACGAGACATTGAGAATGTCTTTTTAATCGCGATAAAATGTGCAGACTTAGTTAAACGGTCCACAATAACCCATATCGCATCATTTCCTTTCGGTGTCCTTGGTAAACCAACTATAAAATCCGTCGTCACCAAGTTCCATTTTTACTGAGGTATCGATAGCGACTGTAGTTTTTCTGCAGGTACTTGGTGCCCGGCTTTAACTAGCTGACACGTTAGACAATGAGTAACAAACTTTGCAATATCTTTTTTTCATGCCATGCCAAAGAAAGTACTGCTTCAAATTCCGATACATCTTTGTAGTACCCGGATGTATAGAATATCGCGTATTATGCACCTCTTTCAATAACTCTTTCCTCAATTCTTCATCTTTAGGCACATATGCACGACCTCTCAATAGTATCAACCCATCATTTGAAGTGGAATATCCTGCCCTTGTAAAATCTTCGAGCTTTTCCATCAATTCTTTCGTTTTTTCATCTGTTTCTTGAGCCATATTCACCTTTTCCAACCAACTATCCCATTTTATAGCCCTAGTTTCCAATCCCTCTCGATTCTCCTGAGCTGATATCTGCATTAAACTCAATTGAGTTGTTAGATCACTTGTCAATCTCAAAGTAGATAACTCAACTTTCTTTCTACTCAAGGCATCCGCAACCACATTAGCTTTGCCGGGATGATAGGTAATATCCACATCATAATCTGCCACTAATTCCATCCACCTGCGTTGTCTCAAATTTAGTTCCTTTAGAGAGAACACATACTTGAGACTTTTATGGTCAGTGTATACTTGAACTTTTTCCCCGTACAAGTAAGATCTCCAAATCTTCAATGCAAAAATCACAGCTGCAAGTTCTAAATCGTGAGTAGGGTAGTTTTCTTCATGTTTTCGAAGTTGGCGTGATGCATACGCAATAACGCGGTCTTCTTGCATCAACACGCATCCTAACCCTTGGTGAGAGGCATCACTATACACCACAAACTGTTTTCCGGGCTTTGGTAATGCCAAAATAGGAGCTGATGTCAATCGCTTCTTCAACTCTTCAAAACTTGTCTCGCATTTTTCGTCCCATTCAAACTTCACACCCTTTCCCGTCAATCTCGTCAATGGCTTAGATAGGTTGGCAAACCCTTTACAAACTTTCTGTAATACCCAGCCAACCCGAGGAAACTTTGAATCTCTGTAGCATTAGACGGTCTCCCCAATCAATTATAGTCGACACTTTGGATGGATCTACTTTCACTCCTTCCGCAGATACCACATGCCCCAAAAATCCTACCTCTTGCATCCAAAAGTCACACTTACTCAGCTTTGCATATAACTTTTCTCTCCTTAAGCGTTCCAACACCTTCTCCAAATGTATCATATGATCCTCACGAGATTTGGAATACACAAGGATGTCATCAATGAAGATGATAACAAACTCGTCCAAATAATCCCTAAATGTTGTGTTCATCAACTCCATAAAAACTGCAGGTGCATTAGTAAGTCCAAACGGCATGACAACAAATTCAAAGTGTCCATACCTTGTTCTGAAATCAGTTTTCTTTATATCATCATCTAGAACACGTATCTGGTGGTAACCTGATCGTAAATCAATCTTCGAAAACTAACTAGCACCTTGAAGTTGGTCTAATAGCTCATCAATTCTTGGAAGTGGATATTTGTTCTTTATTGTTACCTGATTCAATCCTCGATAATCGATGCATAATCTCATACTCCCATATTTTTTCTTAACAAATAGTACAGGAGCACCCCAAGGAGAAGTACTAGGTCTTATAAAACCTTTTCCAATCAACTCCACCAATTGCTTCTTTAACTCAGTCATTTCTGAAGCAGCCATACGATAAGGGCTCTAGACATAGGTTCAACTCCCTGTTTCAACTCAATAGGAAAAGATATCTCTCTTAGAGGAGGTATTCCATGTAGATCTTCCGGAAAAACATCAGGAAAATCATTAACAACCGGTATATCCTCTAGTCTACTTGATATTTCCGGTCCGTTTAATTCTATTACCGCCAAATATGCCTCACTCCCTTATTGAATTAGCCGGTTTACCCACACTGCTGAAATAAAAGACAAACTTGAAGTCTTTCTTGCACCCTCAAACTCTAGTACCAAGGATCCCTCTTGTTCAACACGAACCCTACATCTCTTACAATCAAGGTGAGCTCGATGACTTCTAACCAATCCATACCCAAAATCACATCATATTCCTTAATTGGTACCGCTATCAGATCAACAGGTAAGTCATGTATACCAATCATGACCGATACATCATGAAGCATTCCTTTCGATTCCATTTTCTCTCCACTAAGAGTATGAACCAATATTCTACCACTGTTAATATTAGGGGCAATCTTCATGCAATCTGCATGTATAGGCGAAATAAAATCATGTATCGCCTCTTCATCAAAAAGGGTGTGTGTTTGTTCACCTATAGTACTCAACGTATCTATGATTGTTGTCGTTTCTTCTACATCTTGTTCCTCTGTTCCTAGTGCATATACTTTAGACTTCACCACGTATCTCTTGGAAGATGGTAGTTGTGGTGGTGGTCTTGGTTCAATCCTTTTAAATATTCTCTTTTTAACTCAGGATAAATGTTCCTACTATGTCAAACTTTTCTACAATGGCAATAAATGAGGTTGAGTAACCTACATTCATCCAAATGACACTTTTCACAAGACACTATGTCAAAATTTTCTACAATAGTAATAAATGAGCTTGAGTAACCTACATTCGTCCAAATGACACTTTTCACATAGCGAGTACATCGAGATCTCAACTACATGAGGGTGCATAAGAGAATTTCCTTTCTCTTGTCATCGTGGACAAGACGTCGATGTCCCGATCTCACGTTATGTTCTCTCACTCTGACCAACCAAAACCACTATTTCTAACATTGAATTAAATTTTTTTTTTTTTAAAATTTTCCAACTTTGTCTTGAGAGAAAAACGAAGTCCCCTTATGAACTTCTTAATCCTTAAAGTCTCCGACTGCAATATCTCACATCTATATCTAGATAACTTATTGAATTTTCATGTTGATATGGGGTTTTGGGTTTTGAGTGATTTCGTGCAAAATTGATGTTTGATTCGTGTTCTCCATGAAAATTTATGAGTTCTAGTGTATTACCCATAATGAATCATGCATGTTTAAATGATTTTGATGAACTCCGAGTACTAGAACGTTCGGTCTGAGGTCAGACTGGACGTTCTAGGTCTGCAGGAGAAAACGCGAAGTCCAGAGGTTGAAGACGAAGTCCAGACCGTCCGTTCTGGACTGTAACGACCTAAAATCCGGTATTTCGGATATTGATGAATCGCCACTTGGGTTATAAAAAAAAATACGATTTACTCTAAAATCAACCATCAAAATTACATGTCTACAGCGGAAGTCTAAAATAACATAAGTCTAAAATTCTAAACTCGTAAAAATAGAAAATCAAATTCTTCGTGTTTCTGGCAACTATCGAGTCCAACCAAAACAATCTGTTTCAGCTTTCACCTGTGGGAAAAAAGGAAGGGGTGAGCTACGCGAATAGCTCAGTGAAGTCGCAAGACTATAAACCTCGCCTCTGTACCCAACATAGACAATCAAATAGAAAACAAATACAATCAACATTCAACTCAAGCAAACTCATTTTTCTTCAACTTTTCTCTTATCTTTTCTTTATTCAATTATTTAAAACGAGTTCAGACTCTAGGACCATTCAGTATCCCTCAGACGTAGCTCAAAACTCTTTTATAAAACAAAACCAAAAATATCTTTGTAACCCTCTACGGATCGCCGCCGTAGTCGGGGTTACCACTCCACATGGATCGATGCCATGCTCGGGTTGTTATGCCATCACATACGGATCGCCGCCGTACCATGACTTCAAAACTCAACCAATAGTCGTAACCCTCTACGGATCGCCGCCGTAGTTGGGGTTATAACTCCACATGGATCGCAGCCATGCCCGGGTTGTTATCATACCATCACATACGGATCGCCGCCGTACCACGGTCTCAAAACTCACTTTAAAAATATTTTAGCATAGTCTGAGGTCACATCACAGTCCCTAACTTGATTCTCTACTTCTCCTATCTTTCCGAACATCATGCCAAAATTTAATTAGTATCCAATGTCCAACTCATTCTAACGATCCAGTAAATCCATTAAGAAACGTCATCACATAACATGTACGTCACAAACCATAATCACTCAACAGGAATTTATCAATCATCAATCATCATTCATTATTCATCAATTATCAATCGGCATCAATCCTCAATCATCACTCATCAGTCATCAATCAACAATCAACATGCATCATAAATTCACAAGAAAATTTAAGGCGTCTATCCTAAAATCCTAACCGCATGATATCTACGTTCTCTATCATCATGTCTAAGCGAATAGAAGAAAGAGGAGTTCTGTCGAGTTCCCTCACCTTTATCTGAATGGTGAATCTCGAAAAGATCCGCTTTAATCCTCTATCCCGGATCTAAAACTTCGAGATTTTCTTCATCTATAATTAATTAACAATTAAGAATCATGATCGGTTGTAAAATGGATTTCGAAAATAGAAAAAAAAAAAGATCTAATCTATATCATCCGAAAAAAATATCGACAAAAACGCGAAGAAAATTATCGTAGTGGAGAATACTTGAAAAGAAATAAAATAAATAATAATATTAATATTAATAAATATAAAGAACGGGATGAGAGAAAAATTACCGATAGAAAAATCTAATGGCCATGGAGTCCGACAGTTGCAACGATAGAAAGATGATAAAAAATTATATAATTATATGATTATATGAGAGAGAAGAGATGTGTGAGAGATAGATGGGAAAAAAATAAAAAGAAAAAGGAGACATGGAAGTCGAGCGAGAGAGAGAGAGAGAGAGAGAGAGAGAGAGAGAGAGAGAGAGAGAGAGAGAGAGAGAGAGAGAGAGAGAGAGAGAGAGATGTGTGGCTGCGTAAAGAAGATGGATAAATGATAGAAAAAGGTGAAAACCTAATAAAAATTATGATTTAATCCTTTATTTTATAGAATTTTTAAATTTGTCCTAAATTTTTATTTTGTATTAAAAGGTCCTCATATAAACAACACATTTTCTCCAACCTTTTTAATTTTACCAACTAACCTTTAATTAATTTTTTTTTTAAAAAAAAAAATCGATCGTTATATGGACAGTTCGGAACGTCCGTTCTGCACTAGCCAGACCGTCCGGTCTGGGTGAGACGGAACGTCCGTTCCGAACCGACTGGACCGATCGGTCTAGGACTAGACCGATTGGTCTGAAAAAAAAAAACTTAACAAGACGGACCTAGTATTACCCCGACTCAAATTGAAAAAAAAAGTGAAAAATATAAAATATACCGGAAGTACGGGACAGACCCCCCACGTAATCTGGACCCAAAATGAATAACAGGTAAGGTTAAAAACCACGGAATGAATCAAACTGGTTATCCGGACGGATGGGACCAGCTAGGTCATACCGGAGGTATAATTCGATAATATCAATGGAAAGACTCAAAGAAAATATATAAACAAATATAAAAGACTACGCAAGTGGAAATGCATGTATAGTAGATAAATTATATAAATGCATGTGATTGGGGTAGCTGGCATGCCACTAGCGTTAATTCGGAAGGGTTCAGATTAACGTTTAGCGCGTGATTGTAGAAACGGACGTTTGCGAATGAATGCACGATGATTGCGAGATTGCGTTCCATCTGTGGGCCATCCGATCCGGGTCGGATGTCACCCATATGGGATATGATTGTGAATGTGGCGATGAGATGATCGCGCCAACGTCCGAACGATAGG